GGGTGCAAAAACCTTATTTTCTGATGTTTTACTGATTTTAGAATGTTGATTTTAGTGTTGGAAGTCTATTGTACAGCATCTTTAAGCTTTTCTGAAGAAAAGCATTATGCTGATAATACATTATGCAAATAAGTAGATGAGTATGGGTTTTTAGCTTTATTGCTTTTTCAAAATTAACTTATTTTTATTTTTGCCTAAGTTTTCCTATGTATTGGAAAAGAAGAGCCTACCTAAATGTGAGGCTTTGCTATGGCACTCTGCTGGGAGATCTGTATTTTCATTGAATGATTTGGAGGTTTTTTCTTGTTTCTTTAATATCCTGATTAAAGGATTAGAAAGCCTTTATCTAGGTTTGAGACACTAATACCACCCTGCACAGAGCCACACACTTGGGGGACATGGATTTGCATTTGTTGAATGAATAATAACTTAGGCCAGAGCTGCTTTTCGTTCTTCAGATTGCCCATGCCTCTATGTCTTGGTACAGTTCTCAGAGTCAGCAGACAACTTCACACATTAAGTAAGGCATATGCTATGGAAATGACTGGGCTGGTGCTGTGAATATTGCAAATGTGGGTTCATGGTTTCAGAGTAGAAATAAGTTGTGGAGCTGTTGCCCTGTTGTCCTGTTTCTCCCTTTACATTTGTCACTCACTGGATCAGCATTTTATTTGGATATAGTTAAGAATCCAAAAATACTAATCCTTGTTTTCTTGAAGCTCAGAGTTTCACATCAACTGACAAGTGGTATATGCACGCGTGCGCACACACACACACACACACTCGTATGTATGTAAATGGAAGTATTATAAAAATATAGTAGGAGCCTAAAGGGAGGCACAGCCTGCCTGGTGGGGCTTGAGAGGTGGTCTGTCATGAAGAGCATCGTTTTTGAGTTAATGGGAGTTTTCCAGGTAAAGAGGTGAGTTGACCACCATCTCTGGGGAAGAAGACTACCATAACAAGGAAGAGGATGAAATATTTCAGGAATGACGTGGATTTTGTTATGACTGGAAGAGGGCAGGGAAAGGGATGAGCTTGGTAAATAGTATGGGGCTAGATTGTGAAATGCACACATAGCAATAAGGGAGTCATTGGAAGGCTTTGGTTGGGGGTGGCACGATCAGAGTTTTATAAAAATAAATCTGATGACAGCAGAAAGCAGGGGAAATTGGGGGAGGGCAGTGAGTCATATGGTGTCCATTGTTCTGTCTTCCAGCTTTCTCCTGTGCTTCTGGAGAGTATCTAGAAATGAAGAACCAGGTATGCAGTAAGTGTGGCGAAGGCACCTACTCCTTGGGCAGTGGCATCAAATTTGATGAATGGGATGAATTGCCGGCAGGATTTTCCAACGTTGCGACGTTCATGGACACTGTGGTGGGCCCTTCTGACAGCAGGCCAGATGGCTGTAACAAGTAAGAATCCAAAGCAGCCTTTGGATCTTGACTGAATATTTGACAACAATCTAGTTGCTCCTTACCAGAAAGAAGTTGAGGATAATCTTGGTACTTGTTGGGATTATAGATAATCTAGTTGCAGAGAGTCACATTTTTTTGACAATCATGATGAATAATGTAGCTGTGTTTCCTTGAGGTGAAAACCATTGCCCTCAAGGTACAATAGATACTGTATGCAAAAATGCAATAAAGCTATCAGACAAATGAATTAATTTCCTCATAATGTACTTATAACTAAGCTTAAGTCTGTGATGTTTGTACTAACCCTTTTCTAATTTTTAATGGATAACTTTAGATTTTTCCCCCTTTTCTTTGAAAGGAAAAATGCGTAACCTTCATTTATTTATTTATATCCTGTGAGAGAGAATAGGTGAAGTACCTAAGATGGAAAGTGCTTTTGCTTAATTCCTCCCTCTTTACCAGGGGGCTGGTAAAATGAGTCTCCCGAGCCATACCCAAATACACTGCCTTTCCCAAATTTGCAAATCCTGCAAATCACCCAGGGATCTGGTAAAAATGAGTCTCCCGAGCCATACCCAAATACACTGATTCAGCTCTCCAGGAGGGAGACCTGGGTATCCATTCTGATTCAGCTCTCCAGGAGGAAGACCTGGGTATCCATTCTGTTAACATGTATCCTGGATTGTTCCTCCTACTGGCAGGTTTGGACAAATCACAGGCTCCAAATTACCATCTAGGGGCTCTGGTACCCACAGTCACTGCTAGGCACCATCACAGACAGAAGCTTGGTGGGGACTCAGGCCCAAGGTCACAACAGTCTCCCCGACTCCAGCTGGGGATCTTCCTCCTCAGTGCAGTGTTATGGGGTCTCAGAATGGGGCCAGTTGCCTGAGAGATGAGGCAGCCCCTGGAAAGGTAGGGACCTACTGTCAGAAGCTCGGGGAAGGCAGGGCCAGCCCTGGCCCCTCACACTAGTTTCTGGGGAATTAAGCCTGCTGGGGTTCTCAGGAGAGTGGCCATGGTCACATTCCCACCAACAAACGTGGGTGGGAATAGGAACTAATAGGATGTGGAGACAGTGGTGGACCGGGAGAGGACAGTTGGGGAAGGTCACGTGCTCCAGTCATCTGGACCACTGTCACCTGCCACCTGGGCTCACTCCTGGCTTCTTTGCAGTGGCTGGTGCCTCTCATAAGAGAAAGAGGTGCCACCATGCAGCCAGTTCCCCCCTCCTTTTGCTGAGGTCCTGAAGCTCACCATCACATTGCCATCTGAGGCGTGCCTAATTCCAGGATGGCAGTGACCATCGTGTCTGGCAAGATCAGCAGTTCTGGCTGCCACTGTGAAGCTTGCCTGGCGTGGGGGTGTGTGGAAGGGGACAGTGTGGTGGGGGTGCAATTACCAGATTCCAAGATATTATTTTGCATCTGGACATCGTTAGAGCTATTTTCAATGCTTAGGCATAAGTAAAATAATGAATCATTTATATAGATACAGAATTAGTACTACCCATGTATAATGGGCATCCTTATTTTTCCTTCTAAAATTTGGGTAAAAAATTATGCATTATATATGGCAAATCCAGCATTTAGTGGTGTTAAAAGTTATGTTTCCTCCTTCCCCCTTCCCTACCTACCTTTCTTTCTCTCCTTTACTCTCCTTCTCTGGCAATCTCTGCCAAATGACATCAATTTCTTTATTTTACTTTTCTAATGACAGGATTATTCCTCTAAATGTATGTGTGTTTTAATAAAAGAGTTCTTTAGAAGAAAGTACTTGTAGGATATTATGGGACCTGAGATCTTTGTTTTGGCGGGCAGGAGATATTTAGATGGCTTTTTTTTTTAACCTGGAGAAATTGAATGATAAGCAGTCTTTCAATGCAGTGTCTTCTAGCATAATCTTCTCAGTGTAAATTTCAGTCTTATATTGCTGTATTTATTTTCCTCCCTCCCCTCCCTCCTTTTTCCCACCCACCTCATCTTGCATTCTCTTTACTTGTTTTTAATTGGTTGGGCTGTATAGGAGATACATAAAACAAGTTGTTAGAATTTTCTGAAGTGGTTATTTTATAAATACCAACTGAGACATATTGGAGTTATAGTTATTCTATAACTTTATCAACAGGTATGTGGTAAAATCAAGTCTTGTTTTGTTTTAGCCATTCCAGTATGTTTGAGTGAGATGAATTTCCTTGTGGCTTTTGCATTTCCCTGATGTATGATACTGTTGAACATGTTTCATGCGTTCGTTGTCTGTGTGTTTTATTTTTTTGTGTTTGAAATGTCCGAGAGTTTTACTCATTTTCTACTTTTTTTTGGTCATTTGATTACCAAGCTGAAGGAGTTATTTGTATATTCTAGACATGACATCTTATATGTATATATCTGTATAATTTATTTTACACACACATATGTATACATATACACATTTTCGTGTGTGTAATATTTCTTCCCAGTTTGTGACCTTTTTTTGTTGTCTTACATGATGTCTTTTGATAAGTGTAAGTAAAATTTATTTTTTTTTGTTTTGGTTAATATTTTTTGTTATGATATATTTCCTAACCCTAGATTGTGAAGGCTAGAAATTATAATTTGTATTCTTATTGCAGTGTAGTTAGAGTTATTAGTGTACTTTCACATAAATTTTTTTTTTTTTTGAGACAGAGTCTGACCCTGTCACCCTTGGTAGAGTGCTGTGGCATCACAGCTCACAACAACCTCAAACTCTAAGGTTTAAGAGATTCTCTTGCCTCAGTCTCTCAAGTAATTGGGACTGTAGGCACCTGCCACAATGCCTGGCTGTTTTTTTTTTTTTTTTTTTTTTGGTTGTTGTTGTAGTTGTCATTGTTGTTTAACAGGCCTAGGCCAGGTTTGAACCCATCAGCACCGGTGTATGTGGTATGTGGCCGGCACCTTATCCACTGAGCTACGGGCGCCGAGCCACTTTTAGATAATTTTAAATTTTACCCCAGTATAGCTACATTTACAGTTTACACCCTCGTCTTTTGTACTACCGCTGCATATTTAGGAACATGTTATAAACCTTACAATAAAATATGTTTTAAAATCAGTCGCTTTTTAAAAAACTTACAAAGATTTAGGAATTCAAAGGCTGAGTCTATTACTGAGAAAAGGTTCATTTTTTGTGGCACCTGACTCACTAAATAAAAAGGGGGGATAATACAGCTTTATGTATGAATTTATATGTTTATATGCTGCTCTTTCTTCTCTAGCTCTCTCATGTATTTGTATTTATAAATAAAACTTCAGATGTTAACTTGAAAGAAAAATTCTACCTAAGTCTACTAAGATTAGTTGTCATCTATTTGGTGATCATAGTTTCTGGGGAAAAATAATAGTTTCATAGCAAGTTGATCACACAGCTTTACAGAGATTAGGTAGTCATGTGTCATGAGAAATGAACCTCTTCTCAGTGGGCCTTTGAGTTACAGAAAAGCTTCTGGTGCGTTCTGGCGTCCTTTGCTGGTGGAACTGCTTCTGAATCGGGGTTACATACTTCACAGGCTGGAGAGGTTTCCGAACACTAACACAAAAGTGATTCCTGGTTTTGTTTCTGCAGTTCTTCTTGGATCCCTCGTGGAAACTACATAGAGTCTAATCGTGATGACTGCACGGTGTCTTTGATCTATGCTGTGCACCTTAAGAAGTCAGGTTATGTCTTCTTTGAGTACCAGTATGTGGACAACAACATCTTCTTTGAGTTCTTCGTAAGGCCTTTCGTATTCTGGAATTTACTTTTTAAGGGACATTCATGCAAATTTCCCTTCATTGGTTGTCCCCATTCTACTTTTTGCCTCTTCAGTTTTTGTGTTAACTGAACCTTTTGATGTTGAACTTTAAGTTTTTCTACAATATTTTGTTTTTGGGTTAATACTGTTTGCCTCTGAGATCTCACCTTGTGGAATAACACTACGCATGTTTTATTTTCGGATATGATCATTAGATGATCACTTGATTGAGCTTTTTTTGTGTGATAAATTTATTTTCCTCAAGATTTATTTTAACTTTATGTTTTTATAGATATAGATGATATTGTTTTAAAAATGTTTTTATCAATTTTAGATTTTACTTACAGCTTTTTTCCTCTGTGATTTCAAATTTTTTTTTTTTTTTTTTAGTAGAGTAAGTGTATTCATGAGCAATTATTTTAAAATTAGAAGTGGTTGTATGTTTCTGATTCTGTGAATTTTATAGGGAATCAATGGATGGGATAGTTGATGTCTCTGGTGAGAGATTAAATAGCATTACAGAACATAGGATAAAAGTCTTAACAGCACCAGCTGTTACCATTAAAGTTATTTAATGATATTTACAGATTAGATATGTATCTAATCTAGCAAATATTTATTGTGACAGTGATTTAAATCCTTGAGAAAATGTTTTCAGATTGATTTCTTCTATCAAAAGAAGTGTGTGTTATGTAAATAAATGGGAAACTATCTAGAAAAATTCTCAACCAGATTTCAGGAACAACTGTCCTAAAAATTCTAAAACAAATGTATATTGCTCTTGGTTATGGATAGGTATATTTCTAAATAAAAAGTTTTAGAGCAAGATTTATTTTTCATGAAAATATGAATCTTTGATTTGAAGTCAAAAGATTCTGGCTTTGGTTGCAACCCTGTAATTGTCAGCTGTGTACAATTGAGCAATTTAGCGAACTTTCTGGCCCTCAGCATTCCAGTCTATAAAGTAGATTGTTTGAACATACCTTTTGAGGACCTTCCTAGCACTAATATCCTTTGATGAGATTAAGATTTTAAGTAACATTCAAGTAGATTTTCTTTTAAGGAACATTTTATTTGCTAAACACTTCTCAGAGTGGATTGCACTGGAGATTTGGCAATATTGCTAAAAGCAAAATAGAGTTGAGAAACAAGGCAGTTATCTGATATTAGAATAAGTATTTAGTTCAGTACATGGATTGGCCAATGAGTCATCTGAGAGCTGACAACGAGGGTATTTGGATGGTACCCTAAAAGATGCTAAGGGTCTTTTCTTAAGGCAGAAAGTTTCATTAGTTCTTTTCAATGATACCTTTGTTTTGGTTATGAGCTGGAAAGGAATGGCAAATTCATGTTCCTTCTTTTATTGATGTTTCAGCTTTGTAGGTTGCAATTTATTTACTCAGAGGCCCAACACTTCATGGTCATCATGCTAACAGTTAATGGAAAGGAAATGTCTGATGACTGAAAGATGCCGTTGTTCACTGAGAATTAGACTTGTGGGTGTTACATATGTTAAAGCAATAAAGTACTTAATTTTGGAACTGTGTGAAACTTTCATTCAGCTCTCTTTTTAAGTGATAAAACAGAAGCGTAGAGCAGATAAGTGATGGGACTAACTTATGGTCATATTTTTACTAATTACTTTTAGAGTGAGTAGCAGGACTCAGGTGGCAGTAGAATATCATGGGAACACCTGATGTCTACTTTCAGCTTATCTACACATTGACCATTAAAGACATACTCAGTGCCTTGATCTGCTTTTAAATAGTTTAACACTTGCATTAACATAGTATGTTACAATATAAATACGACTCTTAAGTTCAAGGAAAGTAAATAGTTTCAGTAGCTAGTATTCTGTGATATTTGGATGATTAAAGGATCCATTCTAGTTAATATGTCTGCAAAATAACTCTTATGGAGAACATTTTAATGTTTGTAAATTGGTCAGGAGGATAAACTATGAAGCAGAAACATGATTTAGAGCTGAAAGAAAGAGCCATTTCTTTCAATGGAAATATGGATGATGCTATCTCATTTTAACCATACTCTATCACTGACTATTTTGCAATATTGGAAAGAGGGTCTAAGGTTTTAATGTATCTGTATTCTTTGTAGACCTGGAAAAGTAGTGTCCCAGTCCTAGGCATTTTGGGAGAATTGCCTAGAAAGCACAAGGTGTTTGGTGCTGAGATATTGTTTATAGTCATTTGGACTGGCATGGCAAATGATGAATATTTACCCCCAAATACAAATTTGGGACATTGACAGAGCCACTTACTATACATTTGTGTTATCCTGGGAAATTGAAAACAAAGTGCACCTTATTTATTTTTAATTTAAAGTTTTACTGATGTAACTATTGCAAAAAGCCAACTTTATTTTTATACTAGTGGGCCTGCACGGTGAATGCAAACTCTGAAAACATTTTGTTAAGTTTGGTAGATGTTTGGTAATGGTTTTGTTTCCTTTCTGTGCATTGTCAGTGTTAACTGCTCTTTCCCACTCTCTCCGAGCCCTTTTGTTGTCATAATGAATATGGTTTATTTAGAGCCACTCATTCAACATGCACTTGTCCTTTAGGCTCCAGTGGTCTTGGTGTGTATACTTGAAAATTATTCATCCCATTGTTTAGTGTGTGTATATGTTGAAAGATATGCTTGTAGTCTGTGCTGGGTACAGAATTTAATTAAAGCCATTATTCAAGATGCTTTACTAGGGCCTTTGTATTTGATCTCCAGATTCAAAACGATCAGTGCCAGGAGATGGACACCACCACTGACAAGTGGGTAAAACTCACAGACAATGGAGAATGGGGCTCTCATTCCGTAAGTCTCTGTTTCTCCTTCTCCTTTCCCACCAACCTCACTCTTTTCTTTTCTTTCCCCAACTTTCTTTAAAAGTTTATTTTAAGAAAGGAAAAGATTAAATTCATCTATTAATTTAGCTGATTTCCAGTTAGTTGAAAAATTGCCCATAAGTTTCATTTCTCCATCATGCCCCAACTTTCTTTCCTTTCGAGTGGGCATTGTCAAGAAAAAAGCCTATTCAAAACTAATAAACAGAACATTTGAATATGTAAATTTACGGAAGTGCCTGTGGCATGTGATAGGATCAGTAGCTTTTGTCATTAGAAGGATTCTTGAATTCCTTTATCTAAAATTCTCTGCAGTCTCTCTAGCAAGTGATTTTCAAGCTTGTTTTGGTGGGTACTATGCTATCTCCATTGCCAGACAGTTCTGAGTATCATGAAATTCATCTGTGTTTGAATCCTCCTCCTGCTTTCTTCATATCTGCTACCCATTGTTTCAAAATTCTACCTTCCCTGGTCCCATCAAGTAACTGCCTCTGCATATGATACCTCTTTAAATACTTGAAGGCAATTAGCAGGTAACAGGATTCAGTGGATTTGTTACTATTTGAGGCACTGACTCTTTGGAGTGCAACATAAGTTTAAAATCTAGCTCTTGCTTGTGGTTGTTTATTTCGGTGATTTGGGAACAATCTTGCAGGATTAAATTAGATAATGTATAGGAAAGGCCTAGAGCAATGCCTGCAGTGTAGATGGAGCTCTGTATCCTAAGGGACTGTACACCCTTGCTTTTGTGATTGTAGCAGGTACCTTATCTTTGGGTCATTACGACAATGTACCCGTTCAGAATATTTTTAAAAAATCTGTATGCTTGAAGGTAATACTAATACCACTGTGTTTCATTTACTTAAATACTTAGCTGGGTTTGGAAGGTATCAGTAACTCTTGACAACAAATATACCTTCTTCACTTACAAAGATTTAATATAAGGGGAAAGTGCTTAATGCACTACTTCTTAATGCACTTCAGGATGTCCCAGAGTCACTTCAAAGTCACCATATGTAGGGAAAATGGGAAATGATAAAATTTTACAGAGAGGTGGCCAACACATACAGAATATTTTATAAAATTTTATAATGACTATTTTGTTAATAAAAGCACATTTAGCTATAATCTCCCATTTTCCCTATGTAATATGGTAACTTTGGGGGCACCCTGTGTTTCTCCGAATCTTGTGTATGGTGAAATGGTTTTAATTTTACACAGCTTGAATTTGACCAGCCAGAGACTGCTTAGAAGACTAAAGAGGCAAATGAGAAAGCAAGGAACCCTTAAAATTAGTTCACTCACCTGCATCAACATGAAATTAATCAGAAAGTTGGTTGGATTTTATAATTAGAAAAATGTTCCAGAGGCAAAGAAAGCCAGTACTAGAAATGATATCATTAAAATTAGAGTCAGAGTGAAATCAGGTTATCCCGTAAGAATAGCCCTACTGTTTTCTTGTTGCTGTTAAAGTCTTCTTTAGAAGAAGCAAACTCATTCTGTGTGCCTTTTTGTTTTCAGAGCTCAAAGATCTACCTATGAATAGTGGCAACCTATAAACATACAGCTGGGCTGAGGGACCTTTACCCTCTAAAATGAATCTCGTTTAAGTATAAACCAAGACTTCATGCAAATGGTTTGAAAATCATTTTATCTTTTCATTCAAACTTGATGATTTCTTCTCCTTTATTACTATATATTTTCTGGGTTGTCAAACAATTTTTTTTTTTAAAAGAAAATATCAACTTCAGTAGAGCTTAGGTCTGAATTAACAGTTGACTTAAATTTAGGGGTTTGGGCTGGGTGTCGTGGCTCATACCTGAAATCCTAGCACTTTGGGAGGTTTATATGACCTGAATGTCTTCTGTTCTCTTTACAGGTAATGCTGAAATCAGGCACAAACATTCTGTACTGGAGAACTACAGGCATCCTTATGGGTTCCAAGGCCGTCAAACCTGTGTTGGTAAAAAATATCACAATTGAAGGTATTTCACAGCAGTTTGTTTTAGTAGTCATTTATTATATGTTATAGTTAATTAAAATACTTATTAGAGTTTTGATTTGACTGGCTCAGAGGTTTATTGGACAGAAATTAGTATATTAGGCATCATATAGGTCTAGAGACTTTGGTTTTATTCCCAGCAAGTTGACTGTTGTTTTATTTTTTCCTTGTACCCTTGAACCGAATTCTTTTATCTGTATGAAAAAAGTAAACATGACAATTTTAGGTGTGTTTATGTAAAATAGAAGTTTCTTTGTTAATGTGAGCCTATTACTAATTTGAGAAGTATCACTTGTGCCAAACATCAGGCTTACCCAGGGAATTGGTAATTTGGTCACTGCTATATCCTTTAAAATATAGTTGTAGAATATAAATGTCTTAACACAATAACTAAGAAAATGCCGTGAAGGCTATGTGAACCAGTTAGATGAAAACATTTCAAATTGTATATAAAACCAGCACATTGTACCCCATGGTGGCATTAATGTACACAGCTATGATTGAATAAAAAAAAATAAAAAATAAACACTAAGTGTCTTAACCTGACTATTTCCTGAACCTCTTATTTCTTTCTGAACCAACTGGGTAATTTCTGGCCCAGGAGAGCAGTTGTTAAACTCAGGCATGGTTCATTCTCAATTAGGGGTATTTTAATTAAAGCAGTGATTCTCTTTTATTAAAGTTTGACTTATTCTAATATGTTGTACGTGGGCTTGGTTCTATGAACTTTGTGTTAACGCATTAGTCATAGGGACATCTGCTGGCAAAGGCTGGAATTACAGACCCGAAGGCAAGTCTAGCCGTTCCTAGGGTCTGTTCTTAACCTGTGACTTGAGCAGTGAAGAAAATGGGAGCAGGTTATTAGAGGATCAGAGAATAGTAGGCCTACAGAAGGGGAGGGGATCTTCAGGTTTATTTCATTTTTGAGTTAGTGGAGTTATCTTTTGATAATCCCGTTTATACATTTATTATACCTTTGTCAAATCTCAATCTTTTGTTTAAACTTTGACTGTGTTTAATGCTGTGTCTATCCCAGTTCTTTGCATATACAGCAAGTGCTTTCTTAGTGCTGAGTTGATGAGGTAAAGGTTTTGGGCTGAGCTTACTTTTGACATTTCTGTCTTACTCCTGGGTAGAAGCAGCAAGAGGTGCTGATTTGCTTGTTGGTGTCTGCTCCTTCCTCCCATGCTGTTTTTCTTTACCACACAGGGGTGGCATACACATCAGAATGCTTTCCGTGCAAGCCAGGCACATTCAGCAACAAACCTGGTTCCTTCAACTGCCAAGTATGCCCCAGAAACACATATTCTGAGAAAGGAGCCAGAGAATGCATAAGGTGTAAAGAGGACTCTCATTTTTCAGGTAGAACTAGTTTGCTTTCTTAGTTTTTCTTTCTAAATTTATATTGGTCAAGTGTGTGTTCATAAGCCAGAAATCACTCATACAATGGGATGGTTTTGGTGGGCCAGATATCTAAGGGCTGAAGTGAACTGATATTGGATGGATAAAATATAACATCTTATTACTCTTTCTACACGACTTTCCCCTTAGTCTATGATTTTTTTTCCCTATCCCATACGCCGCAGATAACTGCGGTGGACATATTGACTCTGATCTCAAAAATATTTGTTGGCATAGAGAGGTATTTAGAAACTTTTAATTTGTTTCCATGTACAGTGATAATGGAAGAAATCTAGTATCTTTTAGGAAAACCTTTGATGTGCTCTCTGGGCATCATGGAAACATTTATTATCACTCTTGGGAAAATAGAAATTGAGGTATTTATTTTCTTTAGGCTACCTAGTTCTACCTGAATTGCTCTGGTAAGGTTATTTTTAGTTTGGGAGGTTTCTTAAAATTTATATTTTTGCCTTTTCTTAGAGTCATAAAAGAATTGACCCAATTTTGGAATGTTTTGTATGTTGCAGAGGAAGGATCCAGCGAATGTATGGAGCGCCCTCCCTGTACCACTAAAGACTATTTCCAGATCCATACGCCATGTGATGAAGGAAAGGTATCAGCAGTGTTCAGTCAACTCCATTCCATATTAATCCAGTTCTCTTCCTGATTGGAGCAGACTCTACTTTGTTCATGAGAAAGGTTTATGAGATATGTTTGTAAGTGTACAGAGGAAATTTAAAAGTTTAGGTTCTGAACCTGCCTTTCTGCCTTAGATTTTCTAATTTACCACGTACTTCTGGAACAAATTATTTGACTTTTTTAAGTCTTGGTTTTTCATCTATAAAATGGGAATGATATTATTACCTACTGGTATGAGAATACAGGAGCTATTCAATGGGAAGATTCTAGCACAATGTCTGGCACATAGTGCTCAATGAATTACTGCTGTTTTTAAAAATAATTTTTATTTCAAAATATTAGGGGGTACAAATGTCCTTTTTACATGGATGAATCATGTAATGCTCAATTTAGGGCTTTCAGTGTGTCTGTCGTAGAGTAGTGTACATTGTTTCTGATAGGTAAGTTTTTATTCCTCCTCCTCCTCCTACCATCCTCCCTCTTGTTTCCCATGTCCTTTACACGATTGTATGACATACACCCATCATTTAACTGCCACTTATTAGTGAGAACATGTGGGGTTTATTTTTCCATTCCTGAGATACTTCACTTAAGACAGTGTTCTTCACTTCTTTTTATGGCAGAGTAGTACTCCATGCTGTGTGTGTGTGTGTGTGTGTGTGTGTGTGTATCTCACATTTTCTTTATCCACTCATCCATTGATGGGAGCTTAGGTTGATTCCATGTCTTTGCAATTGTGATTAGTGCTCTGAAATTATCATTATTTTTACCATTTATATTTCTCAGAAGTCATAACCTCAGGAAAGCATAGACTTAAAGTGTATACTGTGACTCACAGGATATAAATATCTTCTAAGTTCTCTCTAATTATTTGGTTATTTGGAAGGTTTTCTTAATAAAAACCATGCAGCCATAGGCTGTTTGGTTGTAGCAGATTACTGTGTAATTGCATTTAGAAAATGCAAAGTCATTACCATAAAAATGATACCTAGCTAGAGGAAAAAATGCACACATAAACTCCCATAGTCCTCTTAATTAGGGAATTAGCCTCTACCAGCCTGTGTGAGTGAGGGGAAACTGAGATTAACGGGCTGCTGTCCAGCACTCTTTGTATGTGTTTGCATCTGCAAAATAATGGCATGTATTTTTTGGACTTAATTTGGAAAATACATATAGATATCAGTAAAATTAGTACTTTTCTTAATTTTGGATCCTTAGGTTCTAATCTCATTTTTTATACTTATGTAATTATGGTAGATCCTCCATAGTTGACCACCTCCCTACATTGACACCTCAAGTTGACATAATTTTCATGGACTAGGTGTGCGCCACATGTTCGTACTAGTACAGGAGGTCTAGCTCCTTGTGTTGACCACCTCTGTATGTTGACCAGTTTGTTACAGTCCCTTGGGTGGTCAGTTTACAGAGATTCTATGGTATTAATCTTACCCTTAGGTCCTTAAGGTTTTTTTTTTTTTTTCTTTTAAGGAATATTCTTTTGAATGTGTAAGCTTTATGTGAATAAGAACAGTAACTCAAACCAACAGATGTTAGCTGACAAGGCCTTGTAAAGTGAGGTCTTAATGACTGTATAATAATGGCCAAGTAAGTACTATTTCTGTTTAGAAAATATATGTAGAAGGTGCCACTAAAGTGGATTAAAAAGTGATTAGGTTTATGTCTGGGTAAACTACTGTAGCTAAACTGGTCTTATTAATACCTAAGGTGAAAGTAAATTAGGTTATTTTATGTGATAATCATTAATCCAGCATTAACTGAAGCTTATATGAAGGAACTGTGAGTATAATGTCAATAAGTAGTATGATGAAATTTAGTTGACTTGGGTCTAATGGAAGTAAGGCCATATATATATGTGTATATATACACACACACATTTTATTTTGAGACAAAGTCTCAAGCTGTCACCCTGGGTTGAGTACCATGGTGTCACAGCTCACAGAAACCTCAAACTCTTGGGCATAAGTGATTCTTTTGCCTCAGCCTCCCCAGTAGCTGGGATTACAGGCGCCTGCCACAACGCCTGGCTATTTTTTGGTTGTAGTTGTCATTATCGTTTGGTGAGCCCAGGCTGGATACAAATCTGCTAGGTCCAGTGTATGTGGCTGGCACCCTAGCCGCTTGAGCTACAGGCACCAAGCCCGTAAGGCCATATATCAAAGTTATAATGCAGAATGCACACATTTGGATATATAGGTGTGCCACAGGCATGCTGTGTATTCATGTATACACAAATTAGGTATTTCTCTTGAATCTTGGATAACTCTGAATATGTTCTTGGCATACAAGAAAACAATGTACTAGCACTTCATAAATTCAGTGATTTTTTTTTTTTTTTAAAGCATGATTAGGATATTTTAAGATAAATGTTTCTAGCTCTAGAAGTAAACAAAGCCATGGGAACTTAGTTAAATAATACCTAGTCAAGAGGCTTAGGTTGCATAAGTGAAGTTGAGGTATTTTTGTTTTTGTTGTCTCAACATTTTCTTTTGTTCTGGTTTCATCTTTAAAAAATGTATTTTATTCTTACTGAGAATCACCTGGTGATTTGTAGCAACTTAATGATATTTCCTGGGGTTGTTTAATGACTGTGTTTTGGTTCTTTTTGATCCTATTTTGCCCTTGCTTGGGGAGAATCAAATTGATTGATAAGGAAAGCAGCTGTTGAGGTATATAGAGCCCTAAAATTTCCATTTATGTGACACAGCAGTATTACAAGTTTGGATTGCTTGTTGCCTATAGGAAAAGCTTTTAGGAAAATTTTAATTGGTAATTGAAACTATACTAATCCTAATTAAGAGACTCTCATTCACATCATGGAAAATGTGGAATGCCTTTTTGTTTATTCTTTCATTAAATCTTTATTACTGAGCACTGGTTAAATACAGGGCAGAGCTAAGGACAGAAGAAAAACAAATGTTTTCATAGATGTAGAGCAGTCGAAGTGGCTGCTCAAAACGACAGTGTGCTTCAGACTCACCAGGAAAGCCCTGTCCCAGATTTCCTTATTACAGAGGTCTGGAGCAAGGTCTGAGAATTTGCATTTCCAGGAAGGTCTTAGGGAATTCTGATTCTGCTGGTCCAGGATCTCAGCACTTTGAGAACCACTGGTCTAGACGATAGAGGAAGAGGTAGACAGTCAATCCAAGGAAATGAATTATTTCCAATTATTATTATTGGTACAGCAGAGGCGTCTGACCCAGTGTGGAAGGCTCCAGGGCTGTAAACTAGGCAAGGGCACAGGAGGAGAGCATTTTTGTTGAGGGATGGTAAGTGCCTGATGGAAGAAGCATGGTATCTCTGAAGAAGGATGTGTGAATGGAGTGTGGGATGTGTGTAAGGAGCTGCACTGTATGCAGCTAATGACATAGGTTGGTACTAGAATAGGTGTAGCTTCAAAGGGCCACATTGGAAATTGTGGCTTTTATCCTACAGGCATTGAGAAATCACTGCCGGGTTGTGGTACTGGAGCAATGTGATGTTATTGGATTTATGCTTCATGTAGATCTCCTTGGCAGTGCTTTGGAAACAAGATTAGAGGGGGGCAAGAGAGGACATGGATAAATACCTAGAAGGCCAATGATGCCCCTTTCTGGGTGAGAGAAGGTGCAAATGGGTGGTGGGAAAGGGAATACACAGGAGGGAAGCTGAGGAAGTAAGTAGGAGGTAAGTAAAATTCCCACGGTCTAACAGTTGGTTAGGTGGGAAGGGGGGTGAGGAAGGATGTGGTAAGGATTTGGGTAGAGGTACTGTTTAGCTAAAGAGAAGATTCAGAGGCAGGGAAGGAAAGACCATGAGTATAGTTTTTTCTTCATTTTAAAAATACCAATAGATTTGGGGGAGCAAGTTGAATTCTGTTCCACGTATATATCGTAAGTTGTATAGTGGTGGAGTCGGGGCTTTTGGTGTACTCATTACCTGAGTGGTGTCACTTTTACCCCATTGGTAAGTTTTTATCCCTCCCCCTCTCCCCTGTGAGTCTCCAATGTCCATTTCTACCACTCTGTGTGTCCTTGTGTAGCCATAGTTTAGCTCCCACTTACAGGTGAGAACATGTGGCATTTATTTTTCTGTTCCTGAGTTACATCACATAGGATAATGGCCTCCAGTTCCATCCAAGTTGCTGCAGAAGACATTCTTTCTTATGGCTGGATAGTACTCAGTACTCCATGGTAGGTATATATCACGTTTTCTCTATCCAGTATGAGTACAGTTTGGCTGTGTTGTGAGACGGGGCAGGTGGAGATGCTGGAATGGCTGTTGTGTTCTCCAGTCCGGGGCTCATACAGCATCTGGGCTAGATAACATGAATCTGAGTGTTTTGAACAAATAGTGGTAATTGAAGCCTTGGGCTTGGGCACGGTTTTTTCAGGGAGAATACACAGTGGGCTTCGGCCTGAGCCACAGCTAGGAAAGATGCTCGAGCAGAGATGGCGACTGTGCAAAGTGTCTGGAGAAGTGCGAGGGAAACCAAGGGAGTTCAGAAGGCTGATGCTGCTGAAGGGTTCATCTAGATAAGAACTGACAGGTATCCAGATTCAGCAGCTTTGAAGTAAATGGTGGCTTTAAAGAGAACCATTTTAACACATGGAAACCAGACTGAAGTGGGTAGAAGAGATGCAAATACAGCGAGGCCTTCATTCACCAAATATTTGTGGAACCTACGAATTATATCTAACATTGTGCAATGCCTTGTATAGATACAGAGAAATAAGCAGACATGGAGAATTACTTTCTTAGAACCTATTGTGGATAAGTTCTGAAGGTCTCGAGGACTTGATAGATTTTCATGAGATGTTATTCCCTGCGATAGATAAATGAGGTTTCACAAATGTTACTTATTTGAATTAAGGCTTAGGAAACAGAAAATAGAGATGTATAAAATAGATACAGAACCTTCACTTCTCAAAAGTATTCACTCAAATTTACATGAGGTATACTCACATAATATGTAGA